AAAAAATTATTTTTAATTTTATACTAAAAAAAAATTATTCCTAACTAAAGTAAATTCCTTATTGTTTATTTATAAATAAATAAATTATAAATAATAGGAAAATAAAATTACTGAATATACCTATTTAATTACGTTTTTTTCTCAAAAATCTCCATCTTTTCTAAGTCGCTAAAATTTTTATGTCCTGCAAGTTATTAACGTAGGGAAAATTTATTTATTTTTTCTCCAAATCTATATTTCATTACATGAATTTTGCATTACGTAAATAAAAAAAAATTATAAAGTTTCTGAATTAAATTTTAAATTCTTTTGCAAAAGTTATAAAAGTATTTTTAATAAAAAAAAACATTTCGTTCATTTGAACGTTCAAAACTTAAGGATTATAAAATATTTAACATTTAAATAAACGAAGATATTTTTATTACTTCTTTTAATTTAAATTTAATTTACAAAAAAAAAAAAATTTCCAAAAGAATTCAATTTTTTTTTTAAATTTTAATAAAATTCCTCCTAAAATATCCAATTATTTTCAATACAATCTTAACTAAATTCCTAAAAAGAATTTAAATTTTTATTGAAACAATTATATTATTATTCAAAAATTTTAATAAAAATATTTGCAAGGTTTCAATTATTTTCATAAATAATAAAATTTTTCAAAGGATTTCAATTATGTTTAAAAATATTAAAAAAATTCATCCTAAAAATTCAATTATCTTCATAAAATGTAAAATTTTTTGCAGTATTTCAATTATTTTTAAAACTTTTAATAAAATTCTTCGCAATAATTCAATTATCATTAGAAAAAATAAAATTATTTGGAAGATTTCACTTATTTCCATTAATAATAAAATTCATCGGAGGATTTCAATTATTTTCAAAAATTTAAAACAAATTCTTGTCTAGAATTCAGTTTTTTCAGAAATAATTGAATTCTTTACAGAGTTTCAATTATTCTCAAAAATTGGAAATAATTTATTGTCAAGAAATCCTTTCGAAGTAAAATTCATCGCAAAAATTATTTTGAAAATTATTTTAAAAAGTTGAAAAAATTCTTTGTTTAATTCAATTATTTTCAAAATCTTAAATTGAAATTATTAAAAAAAACTAAGTTATTTAAAAAAACACAAAGAAATTCTTTAAAAGAATTTAATTATTTTCTATATTTTAATAAAATTCCGTGAATGAATTTAATTATTTTTGAAAATTGTAATAAAATTCTGAGAAAAATTATTTTAAAAAAATTCTTTTAACTTGAATTTTATCCACAAAGTATTGTTTTACTTTTTATAATAAAAAAAACTACTTTTTAACTAAATAAATGTTCATTTACAATTTTTTCCATTTCAATTAAGTAATAATTTTATTAAAACATTGGAGCAGAGAAATATATTTTTACTTTTACAAGATTTTAATTTAATTACCATCAATAACAATTTTTTTTTATATAATTAATTTTCCTTCTCTAAAAAAAATGAACAAAATCAGAAAAAGTTACACGAAATGTAAAAAATCAATGTTTTAATACAGTTTCCTAATGTAAACAGTGAATTTACTCAAGATTAATAAAACAAAAACGAAACAAGAGAACGTAGAATTTTCTAAGAGGAGAGAAGAGAAAAAAAGTGAAGGGTAGATGGAATTTGTGGGGTGTCTAGAATCGATGGTAGGATGCTCTCCCCAGTTACTCGATGAAGAGGGAGAGAGAGAGAGAAGAGTAGGGGTTAACTCGAGCTGTATCAAGTTTTTATCCACTTTGAGTATAATTCTGATTTTCCTTTTTTCCACTTTAATCGACAGAGTTTTAATTCGGTTTATACCTTCGAAAAATAAAAATGAGAAGCTCTGCTTCTGATAGGAAAGCATTGATTGTTATATACGTATATATATATATAGTCGCGAGTGTGCAATATAAAAATTGTACATTGTGAAACTATTTCATCTTTGAAAAATATTTTTCGTATCATACAAAGAATAAAATCCACAAAAATCCCATTGCAGAGAAACTAAGAGAGAAAAAAAAGAGAGAGACATTTTTCAAGCGAATAGTCAAACATAAAAATGAAAGACTCAAATTGAACATGGTCAAAAGCGCTTTAAGTTCTCAGCTCACTTTTTTATTCCTCTCTTTGTGTCAATTTATACAGAACGATCATTAATTTCCAAGAGTCCCCTTAAAAACAGATTTTTTTTAACATTAAAAAATAACTTGAAAAAAAATTGCTTCATTAACGTGAAATTTAAAAATATCTTTTTATCTTTAAAAATATCAAAAAATATCTTGTCCTCTGATATTAAATGCTATGACTTCCTCCCTGTTAGTACAAATTTGTATCATAATAAAACTTGCAAAAATTTATTTACTTTTTATACCAAAAAATAATTTTATTCCTTTTAAAATTTTAAACTATAATTGTTTTCAATTTAAAAACAAAAGAATTTAGTTCTTCCTTAAAGTTTTAAAGTTTCAAGTGAACAAAATTTTTTCTCCCTTCGATATTTTCCAATATTATTCTATTTAACGAAAAGTAAACAAATTATCACTAGTAAGTAAATAATTCACAAGTAGAAAAAATTGTTTTAGAGTTTGTAGAAATTCCAAAAATCTTTTCAAATAATTTCTTTAAATAAATAATTCCTAATAATTTTCTCAAAATAATTCCCTCTTTAATTTACAAATTAATATTATATTTTGTACCGAATTTCTAAAAAGGAACTAAACAAACAAAAATTTAATTTAAACGTTCAGAACTTCAGGAACATTAATTTTTTCAAACAATTAAAAAACGATTTCAGAAATTTTTAACCCCTTTTTCTCCAGAATAAAAAAAAGGATTTTTTCATTCCTGAATTAAAAAAGGTTTAAATAGAAATTATTTTGGAGAATTCGAAACTGTTATTTTCAATTTTCTTGTTTAAAAAAAAGAAGAAAAGTGAATTTAGAGAAACAAGGATAAAAGTATTTAATATCAAGAGAAGAAGAAACGAGACAAGAAGAACGATATACGTGAAAGCTTTGGAGTTTAGGGTTCTCATCGATTCCTGATCATATGGTACCAGACACCGAAAGTTAGTCACGAAAAAGAAGAGAAAAAAATAAGAGAAAAAAAAACGATAAAAGTATAAGAGGAGGGAATTATTTTCGACAGCTTGTTACAATCTATAATCAGAGAAACAGAATTTTCTTTCAAGTATAAAGCAGTTCTCGCCAATGTTTTTTTTAAATCTTATTTTCCAAATATTTCTTTCATTTGAAACTAAACACATTTTTAATAAAAAAAATATTCTTCAAATAAAAAAGTAAAATATTTAAAAAATAAAATTAATATTTCTATAGAAAGAATAAAATATATAAATAAAATAATAATAAATAATACCTATAATATTACAAATTTCACGACTTTAAAGTTTTGAACTTTTAAAAGAACGAAAATTTTTCCTCCTTCGATATTTTTCAAAATTATTGAATTTTTACGAGAAATAAAACAAAAATTTAAATTAATTTAAAAATAAATTCAAACTCCAAAAAAGGAAACAAAAAAAAATTCGGTATTTCAATTTTCAAAGTCAAATACTGAAGTTGAAGTCCGCAACGATTTTAAAAAGGAAAAATGGACATGAATTTTTTCCAAGTTAATTCATCTCAAATTCTGACAAACCCAATTTTTTTTCATAGAAATTTACTTTTTTCTTTAGAGAACAGTAACCTACAAAGAATTTAAATTTAAAACTAAAATAATAAATATCTGCTCAATTTTTCATTTTTAAAAGAGTTGCAGATTTTAGCTTCACGTCAAATATGACAGGGATTTTTAATCACTATCGCAAAAATTTAATGGAAAATGAATAAATGGATATGAGAAAGAAAAGACGAAAAAAAGAGAGGAAATGACTAGTTTAGTTGTGATCTGAAGAAGGAAGTGCTCTTTGGAAAAATAGGGGCATGGAATAAAGCAGCTATCGTACAATGCTAAGAGTAAAAAAGAGAGAGAGAGAGAAAGATGAGAGTGAGAGAGAGAACTCGAAGGCGCCATCGTGGCGTCCAACTTTCGTATCTTTCGCAGCAACAACGACGCCAACGACGACCGAAAACCGAAGGTGCATTAAACTTGGCAACCATTCTAAAATACAGCGTCCGCACTTTCTCTCTTTGTCTTATTCCATTTTTTTTGTCCCTAAACCACACCCTTCACATTTCATTCCCAGTGCGGAATTATTACTTCGTTAAAATCAAAATTTAATATTATAATCAGAAATTTCGGTTAATAATAAATTGTTGCAAAATGCAATTTCTTTTTAGAAATTAGAATTTGTAAAAAAAATTCTATTCGTATTTGTAATTTGTAAAAAAAATACAATCTTTATTTGCAATTTGTAAAAACATACAATTTGTATTTCCAAATTGCAATTCGTAAAAAAATTGCAAATTTGTATTTCCAAATTGCAATTCGTAAAAAAATTGCAAACTTGTATTTCCAAATTGCAATTCGTAAAAAAATTGCAAATTTGTATTTCCAAATTGCAATTCGTAAAAAAATTGCAAATTTGTATTTCCAAATTGCAATTCGTAAAAAAATTGCAAATTTGTATTTCCAAATTACAATTAATAAAAATTTGCAATTTCTATTATCCGCACAGTTTTTCTAAGAATATCAAATTGAGACAAAAAAGTATCAAAAATGTTGTAAAGCAACGTTTTTTTTTTTGATATTTTTTTTGTCTCAATTTGATATCCTTAGAAAATCTATGCAAATAACAATTTGAAAAAAACTGCAATTTGTATTTACAAAATACAAATTTATAAACAAAGAAGCTAAAAATTGCAATTAGATTGTAAATTCACTTACAATCTACAATTTGTCTAAAAAAAATTGCGATTTTTTTTTAGAAATTAAAATTTGTAATTTCTAACATTTTTGCGTATTAACTTTAAAAGAACAAAATGAAAAATATTTAAAATTATTTTTCAGAAATACATAAATTTTGCATTCATAATTATAATAATATTGTCAGTACTCACCAATTGTGTCTGACCAAAAACAACTCGTTCCACTGCGAAAGGCTCCCAAATTAGATTTTCTTGTTGAAACGTTTCTGAAATCAAATAATTTAGTGGTATTATTATCGGTATTCCTGAAATATGTTTGTGAAAAGGAAGTACCATTTTAGAAAATAACAAAATTAAATTTTCCTCATATTTTTGAATTTTTAATCGGATATTTTTGCAAATGAAAAGTGAATATCTAATAATAAAATTTCGAAATAAATTCCAAGGAACATTATGATCGGTTGAATTAATTCGGTTTTAGCATTTTATAATTATCTTAAAAAAATTCATAAATATTTTTTTTAGAACTTTGATTAAAAATAAGACAATAATTTATAGGATATTTATAAAATAATCGTTGGCTTTATAGAAAATAATAAAATAAATTTATTAGTATTGTAAAAACAACTCTCAGTAATTAATAAAAATTCCGTACAAAAAAAGTAAATAATATAAATAATAAACGATACCAAAAATTAATTAATAACTCTCTAATTTTAACTAATAAAAATCTTTATTAATTTAAATTAGTGATTTTTATTATTATTTTATTATTATTATTAATATTTATTAATTATAATTAATAATAATAATAATATTAAATAATAATTTCTGCTTTTAAATTATTAAATTTTACTAATAAATACTAAAATAATAATTTCTATTAATTTATTAGTAAAATTATTAGTAAAATTTACTAATTCAAAAGCAAAAAGTCACTCACTAATTCAAATTATTAAGCATTTTTACTAATTCAAATTTAGACAGAACAAATAATTGAAAAAAGAAATTAAGAAAAAAAAATGAATAAAAAATAAAAAAAATAATTAATAAAACAATAAACAGTTACTTTAATGAAAAATTTTCCAAGTTTTAATATAATTCTTATAAGCGTGAGTTACTTTATCGGCATTTTTTGTTTGCGAATTGTTATATTGATAACTTGAGTTTCGAAAAACATTTTCGTTATTTCCTGATTCATTGAAGGCAAGAACGTGAAACTATGTCAACTTGTAGCAACTCAAATGACAAACTTCAGCCGACAAACTTTTAATATTAGAGAGAAATACTTGAGAATGAAATATGATAGTTTTATGTGCCTTTCCATTTTATTCAAACTTTCCAAGAAAGAAAAAAAATTACAAAAAAATATCAATTTTTTTTGTTACTCAAAATAATTTTAAATCATTTTCACATTTTCTATAATCAACCAAAGTTGTTTTTATCGATTACTTTATATGTTAATAAACAAAAAAGTTAACAATAATAAATAATAACAATAATTGAAACTTAACTTCTTCCAACTTTAATTTAAAATAATAATAATAACCATAATAGCAATAATAATAATAATAATAATAATAATAATAGATAATAAATAATATTTAATAATAAATACAAATTTATTTATTATTAAAAATTATTATTAAAATATTATTTATATAATAATAAATAATATTTAATAATAATAGAAAAATAATAATAATAATAATAATAATAATAATATAAAAAACAATAAACAATAGACAATAGACAATAATAATAATAATAGCAATAATAAAAGAAAGAACCAAATTTCCCTAATGAACAAAAAAAAGATAATAAATAATAAAAATAAGAATAAATAAAAATATATAAAACTAAATAATAAAAGAAACAATCACTAAAAAGAGGCAAAAAGACTAGAAACAAATGAAGACAAAAAATTTCATCAATACATTTTTTGAAACAAGATTCTGACAGTGCAAAATTGTTGCTATATGAATAATGAATTAAAAATTGAAAAATCAAATTAAAAATTCATCAATTACAATTAAAAATTGCAATAACATAAATGAAATGCGTATAAGGCCTTTTGGAAATGAGCATAGACAATCTGGCGGCACGATTCTCCGATATATGGTGATATATGCATACGGTAAGGGACATAAATCATTTTGCTGAATAACCCCGAGGCCACCACCCCTGAAAATGGTAAAATGGCACAAAATCGGTGACTCTACTCTCTTCGTCGCCAGCAAATTACTTCATAGTTCGTCATTCTTCAGCCCTCGTTATAGAAAATGCGAAACACTAGTCACTTCATTTACAACCGAAATTAACTCTCTCTCTCTCAAAAAAAAAAAAAAAAAAATAACTCTCCCAAAAAGAATTAACTCACCCAAAAAAAATTAACTCTCCAAAAAAGAATTAATTCACAAAAAAAATTAACTCTTCCAAAAAAAATTAACTCCTAAAAAGAATTAACTCAAAATAAAAAAAAAAAAATTCTCCCAAAAAGAATTAACTCTAAAAAAAACAGAAAAATGAAGAAGAAATAAATTAATTAATAATTATCCAGATACAATAACAAATGAGCCAAGGAATTTATGGTCGAATGCTTAATTAACTCGACAAATGTAATTAATGATCCAACATTATTGTTTCATTATTATTTACACATTTTTAATAAATGACTCACGCTTCACTTTTCACGGGAAATTACTTCGTCTTGGTAGAAATTATTGCCACGACGAAACATGCAGACATGATAAATTACAAACGACGAGAGAGAGAGAGAGAGAGAGAGAGGGCGAAAAATAAACATTTCGACAAAAGAGTCGCGAGATACTTTTTCCGCAAATTTAATTCTTTTAGTGAGACAAATTTCTCTCGTATATATTATTTAACAGTTTTTCTATATTATTGCGAGGAAATTATATTTCAAGCTCAAAGAAAATTCGATTTAATAAAATATTAATGTGGAATAGTTAATAATAAAATTATTATTATTATTATTAATTATTATTATTTATTAGAATAATTTTTTTAACCTATTTAATATTATTAACACAGTTTTTCTGCAGATATCAAATTGAGACAAAAAAAAGAATCAAAACGTTGCTTCGCAACACTTTTGATTCTTGTTGTGTCTCAATTTAATATCCTTAGAAACACAATGATAGTAATTACTATATTAATAATAATAAAATATAATTACTATAATAATATTAATTTCTCCCTATTATATAAAAAATATTTCGCCGACGCTGAATCAGAATTTTCTAAGGACCCCCCCTCAAAGGGACCGTTACATTACGACAAAATAATTATGGGCCAAATATAATTTATATTAAATATTAATATATAATTATTACAGTAAATATACATTGGCATTTAATTAATTTAATAATATTATGTAGGTCAAAAAGACTATAGCAATTTTCTCTGAGGGAATTTTTTTCTCTCGCAAAAAAAATCTTAGGAGACAAAAATCACTGGTACTTGTTAACCGGGAAAAGCATTGATATTTATTGTTTGAATATAGGTATATAGGTTGACGCCAATATAAAGTCGTTATCATTCTTGATGTTATTTTTACAGCCACTTTTATACGAAATCAATGCAATCGACTTTTAATAACAAGAACGATAGATGGAACTTTTAAAAAATTATATATGGAGTAAAGAAACACAATTTTAATAATACTTTTAAATTTTAATAACAATTTCCAATAATACCTATAAAATAAGGTAAATTTTCAATTTTAGTATTCTTGTATAAACAGAGAGGAAAATTAAGTAATGCTCTTAATAATATTATTAATGATAATAATAAATAGTAATTATTTTAAGAAAGAGTAAACAAATTCCCGGATTATTATTATGAATTCTATTTTAATCACATTGTTATAATATTTGAAATTATTACGACCAAAGTTAAAATGAAAACTGCTTTACGAATTAATAAATTATTAAATAAAGGTTAATGTAATTATGAAAATAAAAATGATAATATTGCAAAATTGTTATAACCATTATGAAAATTAAAATAAATACCTATATGACATAATAAATAAAGAATTGAAATTAATACAATTATAAATAGTATAAAGTTATAATAATTCAGAGCATTATAATCATAATACTAAACTACAAAGAAATTATACGAAATAATAAATAAATAACTAAATTAACATTAATATTATTAAAAGCAGTAAAATTATTATTATTTTGTAAATTATTATATATACAGCGGAATTTTTTGAAAGTATACATAATAATTAATAAAAATAGAAAAAAAATAAAAATAAAATAAAAAATAATAACAATAATAATAATAATAAAATAAAAATGATTTAATAAAAAATAGTAAAATTATAATTTCATATAAAAGATCTAAATGATTCGGTTTTCTATCAGTGTTCTAAAAATAAATTTGAGCTCCGTAAAATCGAATTGTATTTTTCCAGACATTAATTATTCCATAAACGTTTTGGAGTAGAATATATTTTCAGTAAGAAATAAAAATAAGTTCATCATTTCTCAGGGAACATTAAATTTGCAAAAGAAATTACAAAATGAAACCAGAGTGGATAATTGCATAAAGAATAGTTCTTTTAAATTTTCTAAGTGAAATGGAATTGTTTTAGTCAGACAGTTATTTTTGTCTCTGAATCTAGAGGTAGGTATTCCAAGTGGAAAAAGTGCCACTTTGGTCAGACATATCGAAGTCTTTTAGAAAGTCAAATAAGTAGATAACATTGGCTTTAGTCAGACATTAAAATCCTTTTAAGAAGTTTTAATAGGAAATAATTATTATCAATCACAATCTCAATATTAACAAGAGAAAAAAAATTTTAGTCAACCAAAAGTTTGATTCAAAGAAAATTACGTTTAATTCAATTATAAAATATGTTTAATTCAAACATTTTTTTTTTTTGGTTGGCTACATATTTTTGAATTAAAAAAAAATTTCTCTCAGTGTAAAAAATATATGACTTTTTCTTGAATCAATTAATAATTTATTTTTATAAAAAAAAATTTTAATTAAAAATTTTTAAATTCTATTTTTTTTATTGCTTATTTTATTTAAGGAAGCATAAAGTAGAATGGCAACATCAAAAATACAAAAAAAAAGTTGTATTTATAAATAAAGAATTGTAACAAATTATTTATTTATAAATACAACAAAAAAAAGTTGAAGTTGAAAAATTTCGGTCACAGATCAGAATTCGAACTTAACATAAAAAAATTTACTTCAAAGTTTGCGTATCAATTAAAATAAA